AAAGGATCAGGGGTTTGTAACGGGTCCCATAGGGAGAGAGATTGAAGAGACAGGTACTTTCCCACTTGAAAAAGAGGAGATTAAGGGGAGGATGTGATGGCAGTCTATAAAATCATGAGAGTTGAGGAGAAAATGAATAAGGAAAAGTCATTTACCTCGACTATAACACAAGAACTAGGGGTGGCCAAATGAAATGAATAGGTAACAGGTTTAACACAAACAAAAGGACGTTTCTCTTCCTGCAGCGCACCGTCAACCTGTGGAACTCCTCGCCAGAGGATGTTGTGAAGGTCAGGACTTTAACAGGGGTCAAAAGAGACCTAGATAGATTCATGGTGGATGAGTCCATCAATGGCTAGTAGCCAGGCTGGGCAGGAATGGTGTCCCTACCTCTGTTTTTCAGAAGCTGGGAATGGCCGACAGGGGAGGGAATCGTTTGATTTCCTGCTCTGTTCACTCCCTCGGGGGCTCCTGGCATTGGCCACTGTGGGCAAACAGGACCCTGGGCAAGATGGACCTTTGGTCTGACCCAGCCTGGCCTCTCTCATGTCAGCCTCTCTCTGAAAGACACCCCTAGTGGGCACAACGGCACCAGCCAGAGCCCCAGCGTGGGCATAGCTGTCCCAGCAAAAAGCTACATGGGTAAGGCCAGTCTGTCACCAGTTTCCACTGCCTCTGGGGAGTTTGCTGACACATCCCGACGCACTGCTGCAGGAATCGCCGGGCACCACCCAACCCCGCCACGGGGAAGGGCTAGTCTCACCAAGGGACAGCAGGGGGAAACTGAGGCACTAAGTGACTTGCCCAAGGCCACGCAGGAAGCCTGTAGCAGAGCAGGGAATTGCTCCCAGATGGCCTGTGTGCCCGAGAGCGTGGCCATCTAGGACGCACGGAGAGGCAGTGACAGTTCGCAGATTTTTTTTTTAAGATTGCACACCCCGGTTTGAGAGCCGCTGAGGGAAGAGACGCCAACTCCGACTTTCCAACGCCCCCTCTGGCAGAAAACTTCACAAGAAGCTCCAGAAACCAGAGGTGCCCCATAAAACCACCATGAAAAGCTGCTTTTCATGCCCCCACCCATCCAGTCAGGAGCAGCGTTGTACAGAGAACGTGCCGACTCCACTCGCACAGAAAGAGACGGCCCTGACTCCGTCTCTAACCACTCAGCCCTACTGTCTCCCCCCAAAGCAGAGCACCTGGGATCTGCCTCCTACGCCCCCTCTTCCAATCACTTCTTGGGGTTCTCTGCCCAGCTCCGAGAGCCCCGCGTGCCACTTCCCGGCTCTCAACACCTTGCGAGCCGGGCTCCTGGCTTGTCCCAGCAGCCAAACAGCCTGCCAGTCACAGGGATCCCCCTCCGGGTGGGAACACCCCGGCTTCATTTCTGGGCCTCTGCCGCCCTCCAGTGTCTGCTGCCCGATCAGCTGCTGCCGGCCCACCCCACAGACTGTCACAGGGGAGAGGGGCAATTCCAGCCTGCAGGGACTAGACCTACTCGGACCACCCAGCCCCCCACGCCCCAGAGAACCCGCACGTGAAACCTGGCAGCTGGGAACAGAGCCGGGGCGGGCACTATGGCGTGCACAGGCCGGGAAGAGGGGGGACCGAGGGACACCCCAGCTCTGGCAATGACAGGAAGAGGGGGTATGGCAAAACCCCAAACGAACCCGAGATCCTGGGGGGCAAATCCCTTCCTGACCCCACCTAGAGCCATCGGCGGCCCCCTGTGCAGGGGGGCAAGAACCGGCCAGCCCCCCACTTGGAAGAGAAGGCTCCATGGTGCCTCTGAGCTCTGCCTGCTTTGCAGACCGCCTGAGGAAGGTGACCAAGGCGACGAGAGATGGGGGAAGAGGCCAGAAATCGGTAGGTAGGGCGGGGGGAGGTTTCCACGTTTGAATGAATGAAACCGAAAAGGAAGCACGTGGACCCCAGCAGGGGCATCCATAATTTACAAGCCATCTGGGTAATGTGGAAAAAACCAGGCACCAGATGCTACACGAGCCTGCCCCCCGGCAGCCCACAAGTGCTTGCAACCACCTCGATGGTTGGACCCCACCAAGCAGCCCCCACACAGACCCCCCCCAACAACAGACCGGGCTCAGCATGGGCACCGGGATCCGCCCCTGGGGTCAACGGGTGGGATTGGGGCGTTTATGTAACTGCCACCGGCTAGCTTTGAACCTGGGACCTCCGGAGCTTCGTGTAGCTCTCAAGCCAGCTGACGCCCAGCTGAGGCTGTAGAGCTCCCTTGTTCTTAGCTCTGGCTGGCAGTGGTCTAAGGCTGTGTCTACACTGTCGGCTTCTTGCATGAGGCTAAGTGTGGAATATCGCCACGCCTCATTTGCATACCTAATGAGCCACCATTTTTTTCAGAAGAGGTTCTTGCACAAGAAGGAGCATCTACATGGCCCCTTCTTGCGCAAGAAAAACCCTCTTGGGCAACGCCGTTACACCGATTACTTTTCGGGAATAACGGCGTTGCATAAGAGGGTTTTTCTTGGGCAAGAAGGGGCCGTGTAGATGCTCCTACTTGGGCAAAAACCTCTTCTGAAAAAATGGTGGCTCATTAGGTATGCAAATGAGGCTCAGCAATATTCACCGCTTAGCCTCATTTGCATATTACTCACGCAAGAAGCTGCGAGTGTAGACACAGCCTAAGTGCCCCTCCATAGGGCAGCGACCCGCCCTGGGGGTGGGGGTTACATACTTCCCCTAGCTGAGAAAGCGCATCCCAAGCTCTCGTGTTATTTGGGGGGTGGGGGGTGGCTGTGACATCTGCTGGGGAAACTCCTTGGGGCAGGAGTCGTTTTGGCCTGCGCAGCACTTGGCACCATGGGATCTCGCGCCGTGGCAGGCACGTCAGTGCTACCTTAGTGCACCTACTAATAACGTACAGCGCCGAGCGCAATGACACCTCCCCAGCAGGGCTCAGCACCAGGCCACGCAGACGCCAAGAGCAGAACTCTAGCACTGGAGCGAAGTCGTCGGTGCATTAGCTGCCAGCAGTAGTAGGTATTTATCTCACCATTGGGAGTGAGCAGCCTGAGAGCCACAAGACACTTTTTGACCACTGCCCGTGCATATTCCCCTGGTCTCTCTCCGTACTGGGGGCATTTTGTAGCAGTGTTAGTAGAGTGACACACCCAAAGCCCAGACACGTGACGTGGGGGGCGTGCAAATTGCACCCAACACTGGCTGGGAGGGCGGCGTGCCTTTTCCGCAGCCAATCACGGCGCTGCTACGGGTCCGTCGGCACCACCCATCAACTCTCACTACACACGCACAGTGAGCAAAACTCCCAGCCCAGGGAGAGCGGCTTGTTACGATAACCGGACGGCCCAGCAGGAGGACGCAGGGATCACCTTCATGCTGCTCGGGATTGCTACTGTCCTAGAGGAACCAGGGCTGTGCCTCAGTTTCCCTGCACTACTACCTAGAGCAGGGTTTCCCCAACCTATGGGTCAGGACCCAAGTCTGTTCTACACTGTGTCCCTGTCACCTAATAACCCTTCTGTGCAGGGGGGGGGTGCAGGGCCCAGGGACTCCCTGCACCATGGTAACACTGGTGGCAGTGGGGGGATATACTGCACCTTGTGGACAGAGCATCCACTCACTAGCCTAGACTGCCCAGGACTGTTCTCCATGGACCCCGGACACAGCACATCACACTTGCCATTCACTTTTTTGTTTTTAAAGGGCCGCAGGGCTGTGAGTTCCTCACCGGGCAGGCAGGTCAGAGCAGTGCCCAGGCAGCCGGTCCAGCTGCAATCCGGGAAATACAGCTGGGCCATATCCCAGCAAGTTCAACCCAGCCGGTTCGCCCCTTGCAGCAATTCCCCTCACGCCCCAGCCGGGAGCATGACACCCCTACAGGACAGGGAAGGCAGGAGCTGTCCCGGGAACACCTGGGAGGACTTATCAGCCCCTCCTCTACTCCCCTTGTTTCAGCTTTTG